TATTTGCTACCTTTGAGTGAGCATCCGAATGATTTGGTGTTGTTATGAAAAAAATGTCAATGGGAAATTAATTTCCAAGTCATGTGCATGAATATTGATGAAAAAAGTAAATTCAATTCAATACAGACAACTATTACTGCTGTAATTGGGGCCATTAGGAGTTGAAACTGTCACTTCAGGTAGCTGGTAATAAGTAAACAGTTGAACGTGAAGCGGGACTGTTGTGTGAGTAATGGCTGAAACCTACCTTTGGGATGGCCAAGCAGTGCTCTGCCCCAGCACCCACTCTAAATCACCCACGCTTGGGGTGTAGGTAAGAAGCAGCCACGGGCTGGCAGCCTGACCGATCCCTGTCACCGCTGGTTTGGGGCTTCCCGCCTGGAAAAGTCACATCCTTCAGCTTCAGGAGAGCATCGGTGGTGGGTGTCTCTGGGCACGTGCCCGTTGCACGCTCTGCCAGCTTTGTTGACAGAATATGGGAAGAGAGGGAATGGCCACGTGCGTGTTGGTGGAGAGGTGAGTTTGAGAGCTGTGTGGCACGCTGGTAACCTGGTACAGGCTGTCATCAACAGCTCGCTGGGGTTTCCGTCGGGGGAAAAAGTGTCAGGGATGTCAGATTTTCCTGGGCATGTATTGGAACGGCGCTGAAGGGTTTCCCTCGTTGAGATGGCTCTGTAAGGCCTCCTGAGCAGGTCAGGAGCATATGTGCTCAGAGATGCTCAGCAGTGAGAGAAGCTGCAGACTGGAGGCACGTCTTAAAAGCTGCTACTTTTCTGACCTCTGTTAGAGGCAGGGGAATTAGTATTTTTTTATTAACCAGGAGAGGTTCTGCTGCAGGGACTGCTTTTAACACGCAATCTTTATTTTCTTGCTGCTCATTCGTGTCTGGGGCTATATAAAATAACGTGTCTAACAATATACAACAAAGTGCTTTGAAGAGAGTTTATGAAATACAGATTATGGTCGTTGTGCATGGTGTGACAAGGAAATACACTTTGTTGTGCTTATGTTTATGCCTATCTATGGCTGGAGCATCCCTGAAAATATGTATTATTTTGGCACTTAATTTTAAAGAGCTGTTACAGCACATAGAAGCCTGTTGCTGTTCTGAGAGATGAGCAGGAGGGTGAGAGGAGTATGTTTGTGCTCTGTGTCGAGCTTGGGGACAGAGGGACTGGAGATCCCACCCGACCCCTGCTCAGCTCCCACTTCACAACACGGTTACTTTAGTGCTTTTTCACTATTTTGGCAAACGATTTTTTGCCCTGGAACAGCTGGGAATTGCCTCCTGTGGCTCAAAATGGGAGGATAAAACTTGTTAACTACCAGTTCATAGCCTGCTTTCTGGTCTGTGTCCCTCCCAGGCTTGGCTCCCTAGTTTGTGTGGGCAAGCAAGAGCACCTTTGTAATTGTACGTGGCAGCAGCATATCTTTTTCATGGCAGGAATGGTTTTTTACCCTATTAGTTTGTATTTTGCCTTAAAAAAACACCAACAGCATAACTAATCTCTCTGCTTTAAAGGACTCCCTGTGGAGGGTGAAGGTACTGTCCCAGCTCTGTCCTCTTGCAAGTGATGATTGATCTAATCTGTTTTTCTTAAATACTTTCATAGTTTTCTCTTTTTTTGAATCTGGCATAATTATTAGGTGCATCAAAAGTATATGTCCAAAACCCCTGCTGTAAAGCTGAGATGCAGAGAGATTAATGGTTTATTGTAATAATGGATTATTCAGGATCCATGGTTATGCCCACATTCGCTTGGGGACTTGAACTCATTCTGCAGGTCCAGGTGTTCTCCCGTTCCAAGTACTGTTTCTGCATCAGCTGCGCTGCTGGTTGGGTACCTATGGCCTGAAAACCTGCACTCCAACACCCCCTGATAGATGCAGGATGCTCTCACTTTCGGTATACGACTTGATTTGAGGTAATCTATAACCAGTTTCTTTGTTTTGTTGAGGGGAGATGACCTGTCAGGACACTACAGAGCTACAAAAGCCGAGCCAGGCCATGCAGTGGTTGGGAAGATGGATGCTGGGCAGTGACTTTCCTTGGTTTCCCAAATTCTGTGGCAGAGCAGGCTGGGAGGAGCCGCTTTTTGCGGCCCTTTTGCCATGTATTGAGCAGGCAGCAGAGGCTCAGGTGTGAGCTGGAACAAGATGTTTTATGTAACAAATGGGCAGATTTATTTTTTTAAGACGGAAATTAAGTGCTTGGACTTACTATGAGATAAATTTAAATGATCAACATGATTTCTTTTAAATATGCCTTTCAGGTTTTATTCATCCAAAATAATTGTTTTCCATAGCAATATCAAAAACTAGGAGTAGTTACTGCAATGGTTTGGTTGTACAAAATTAATCAAAGAAAACCTGCAGCCCCGGCTTACATCTGGGCTGGCTTTGCCCCCATTGAATGCTCTTGCAAGAGCAGGCTCCAGGTGTTCTGCCTCCTTACAGCAACAAATGGCTAAATTAGCTTTCGGGAAACGTTTAATGGGTGTGCAACATGAAATATCAGTGTTGCAGCATGTAGGTTTATTAGCTGAGCTGCTGGAATTGTTTTCTGAGCTACGTTGATCCTTAGCACTGATTGTGAAATGGAACAGAAATTATTTATTAGTCCTCAGGAGCCTTAAGACAGAATAATACTTACTGGGCTGGAAACACAGTCAATCTTGTTGTTATAGATGCTGCTGTGTTTAAGGAAGAAGCAAACAAACTGATTTTGTAATGGGTAGCAAACATTTTTAGAAGCCTTCTGACAGGGACAGGCGTGCATCTCCCTGAAGGGTGGAGGTGCTTGTAGGGCAGATCTTGAGATTGTTCTGAATAAAACTCTAAATATGAGTTAGGACAGGGCTTTGTGTTTGAAAAAGAAAGATGTGCCGTCCCCTAGCAGCAGTGGTTAACCCTCTGAGGTGTTCCCAGTCCATCAGAGCTACGCCAGGTTCCAGCGGGACCATGTGTTTCTACCTTGGGAATCCCCAAAAATGGCTATTAAAAATACTATAACTAAAATCTTGTTTACCACTTAGAGAAAAACATATCTAAAGTTTTACAAGTTTCAAAATGGGAATATTTGTGCTTTAAATTAAGCCTTGAAATGAGGTCACAGTTTTTATTTTAAAACCTGAGCAAACAAACCCGTTTTGTTTTTCTGCAACACTGTTTAATGAATATATGTCAAATATTGAAAGTATTTAAACTGAGCGAGGACTTTCAAATTTTACTTTTTCCAGGGCAAAGAAATAAATTAAAAAATTACATCCTTTACGAAATTTCTTTTGCTACCTAGACCAAATGTGTATTTGGAAAAGCAGTACTATAGAGTGCCTTTTGAGTGTTGGTCCAGGCTCTTTGGCCTCTGGAAACATAAAACCCGAAAATGATCTGATAAAACCTTCAATGGCTTGCAATGAAACCAGCCCTTGCTGTCCCTCCCCAGTGGGGAGTTACGGTTCAGGAGGAACACATTTCTGCTGCCTTTTTTAGGGCAGAGGGAGCTTCCTTGGGAGAAAACTTTGAGCAGTTTGTGGGTTTCTGGCTGCCTCCCGAAGCCCGTTGCCAAGAGGCTGCTTGAAGCTCGAGTTGTCCTGGCACGAGAGCAGATTGCTCTGCAGCAGAGAGACCGCAGCAGAAAACAGAGATGAGAATTGTTCCCGTTTCTATTAAAAAAAGGGAGGGGGGGAGATGTAGTAAGCAAACAGTAAATAATAGTAGTACTCAAAAACCTAATTACTTTTGATATTTATAAAAAGGACCTGCATCATTCAAAAGAGCATATTTTAGCCAATTTTACTGATTATGCTTCCAGTAATGGAGAGTTTTGTTTGTATTGATCAAATCCAGGAGTGGGAATGGCTCCAGAAATGCTATTCTGGTCTGGCTGATGTTTTTCATAATATAATGCCCATTTCAAAAGTTTGGATATATTCAGATTAATTTGCTTGCAGATAAGAACAACCCGTAAGCTGTTGGTAAAGAGGAAAAGTAAGCGCATGCCAAAAAAAAAAAAAAAAAAAAGCCCAGCGTCACACCTCACACTTGACGATTTAGGTAGCACTGCTGCCCTGGCAGGCTCAGAGCTGCCTGAAAAACTGCTGTTGTAAAGTGCTGCTTCTGTGTTTCTTTCCCGCATTCATTTTTGTCATTGCTTGATGCATGGCGAGGTAATAGACTGAGCTGAGCTGTGATTCTGCAGTAGCTTTGAACCAGACTTCAAAATTTAGAACAAAGTAGTATGATATTAAAGGGCGTCTTCTGAAAACTAACTGTATTAGGATGGTATTTCCTAACTCATCTGACACATCTCCACTGTATGTTCAGTCTGGTGACTTGTGGAAAGGCGATGTATTTTTTGTCTTTCTCCTATCTAATTGTGTAAAGCTGGGAAGAGCAGGGGTCTCAAGGAAAGTGGTGAGGCAAACAATGTCAGGTATAAAAATGTTGGTCAGGTTGCTCTTGGCTTGTCTGACAGCCCGTTCTGAGCATCAGCTGCACTGGGAAGACGTTGGACTGCTCAGGTCAGCTTGGATGCAACGGTCCCTCCAGCCTTGCGTCCCTTAGTCTGTGATGGGCACACCTCTGTTCAGTGGCCGTTTCTGTCTTTGGCAGAACTAGTAGGGACTTGGCTGAGGTGTGTGTTTGGCCCTTTAGGTGCTGGGGTCAACTAGTTCTGCATTTTCCCTGCGTTTCTGCGTTTTCAGCCTTTTTTTGCATTTGGTAGTAAATACCAGCACTTCATCCTGTTTGGTGAGATACAATTAAATTGTTGAGATGGTCATGGACCATATCTGTACCTTTCTATCTGTACTGCTAATATTTGAGTAACTTGTGCTGGGCTTTTTTTTTTTTTTTTTTTGAAGGACCCAATCCTGTTTATAATTCAGGATTTATGTTACAATTACCTTGTATCCCCGTACACAAACTTAATTTCCTTCTCTGCTCCTATGCCTCTCTTCCATGCTCATCCTGATTGTTTGCCCTGTGGTTTCTTGCAGTGTGTGCCGGCACAGAGAACAAGCTGAGCTCCCTCTCTGACCTGGAGCAGCAGTATCGGGCCCTGCGCAAGTACTATGAGAACTGTGAGGTAGTTATGGGCAACCTGGAAATCACCAGCATTGAGCACAACCGAGACCTCTCCTTCCTGCGGGTAAGCAATCTTCTTTTTCTTTCCCTCCACCTTCTCTGTTTAGGGGAGTAGCTATGGATGCTGGGCTGGCCAAGGGCAGGTCTCTTTCCCACCAGCTCCACTGCAATATGAAAGGATAACAAAATGTCACAGATGCACAGAGAACAAGAGCAATGTCACTGCTGTGACGGGTGCTCTGAGTATGCGTCGTTTAGATTTATCCAGCGCTCGGGGGAGAAAGCCACGTCACTATGCAGAAAAATTACACCTTGCAGGTCTCTGTCACTGTGTGTTGCCAGCAGGTATGGAGCAGGTGAGGTAGGCTTTAGGAAGGTCAGAGAATCGTGCAGGTGAGCACTGGAGGCTCGGAGAAGCTGATCCTAACAAAATACTATATACGGACTGATAGATAGACTAAGCAACGGAAGAGCTTTGGGGCAATGGTTGTGGTGCATTTAAGAAAAAGGGAAAAAAAGGCCATTGCTGAATGAACGTAAACCCTTTTTCGTGTGCAGTACTGGAGGTACGAGCCCAATTGAACCTCTAGCATCCAGGAGAGAAGTCTCTGCTAGATGAAGGCTGTCCTGCCACTGTGGAGCCTGGGGTGTGAGCCTCCTCAGCCCTGCTTACATATTGAGAAAATACCATGCTTTTGGGTTTGTGAAGGAACATTTCGGCGTGGTTTGTATGTTCCCTGTTAACATGCTAGCAACCACAAGGAGGGGAAAGGTGAATAGTGAATTAAAAGAATTGAAGTCCATCATTATTGGGTGCTCCAAAACTAATTGTGTTTGAGGAAATATCCCAGTAAAGAAGTGATCCAGTGCACGCAGGTGGATGTCTGAAGATGCTGCAGACGATGTGGCTGCAACATGGAAGAAACTGGTATGTAGGTGTGAGGGCTACGGTAGGAAAGGCAGCCCGTGGCAGTGTGGTTGCAGGCTGTGCTGGTCATACGCTCCAACAGAAGTCAAGCCATGACATGGATAAGGGTTTACACTGCACGTATCGTATGGCATCACTTGAGTATACTTATGCAAAATGCTAATGTCATGTTTCAAGATGCGTGTCTGTGTGTAACTGGCACTTTCATAAAAAGCACGTAGGGGGAGCGGTGAAGTTTAAATCCGGCAGCAGGAAGAGGGCGGCGGGAGTCAGCCCAGCAGGTTGTGTTACACTCAGTTGTTTGGTCTGCTGGGTCTCGGGTGAACCTGGTGCTCAATTTCAGTTTGTGAAAATGTGAACTTTCCATTTTGAGTTCTAACAAAGGCAAAGCAGATTCTCCAAGAGCGTGTTTAGCTTTGCTTCATGTTAAATTTGTTGGGGATTTCACAGGATTTCCACTCTATATGTTGGCCTATATTTACTCAAAGTGTACACCAGGCTGCTAAAAGATCTGCAAGCAAAATTCAGCTACCAAATACGTCTGGAGTAAAGTTTGGGGTGCTAATTGCACTCAGACTAACAGGTTGCCTGTTAATTTGAGTGACGAATGCCTAGGAAGTGAATGCTATCTATACATTTCACAGTTGTGACAGGTGGGGAAAGCACATATGCTTGTGCTGTGAAACATATAGCCTTGGTGCAGCTGGACTAACATTTCCCACCGCGTTAGACAGGCGGCAGATAGATACCTCCTGCGCGGGCAGGGTCCCTGCACCGATTCGGGCATCGCGGGAGTTTCAGGTGCCTCCTGGAGCCCCTGGCTGGGCCATCGTCAACGGCTCGAATTCATCACGGACGCTTCTCCCGCTTTGGCTTTCCTTTCTTCTTCTGCCCGCCGGTAGGTAGGAAAAACAAATTGTTGGGAAATTAGGGGATTAACGTTCCTTGTGGAGAGCTGCTATAAGCAGAATAACATGTTGGTGGAAAGTGAGCAGTAAAATCAGTAAATGAGAGGAGGAAAGAAGGGCCCTGTGTAGTAAATGAAGGTGGTTCTGTCTTTTTGGTGACAGTGTTGCTTTTTTATTGGTTTTATTACTTCTCTTACCTGAGACTGCCCTCTCGCACATGTCTCGGCAAAAAGCAGAATTTGAGACAAAATCCAGCAAACTGGAAGTCTAGTTAATATGATAAATTGTAGTCATTAAAGTGGAAAACCAGACAGAGGAGAACATGTTCTTGGTGAGGCAAATAAATAAATAAATGTTGGCATATTTACGCTGATAATTCGACATTCATTAGTTAGGCAGTATTACTTGCTTTATCATTTAAAAAATGGTTTTAATAGCCAAATGAACGTGGCAGATGGGAGATAACTGAAAGAAAGGCAATTTGTCTCAGACTTAAATATGGTGAACTCGTCATGCAAGATGATGCTCCTCCAGCCTGCTCCAATTTTCCTTAGTCTCTGTTGCAATTTTTGCCCTCTTTCTCCACCAAACGGGCTGCAGGTAGGCAGCTGACGTACCCCTGAGTTATCTGCCCGTCTGGCTGATGGGTGCCATGGCTTTGTGTGCCGCCTGCCTGTCTTCTTGTTAGTGCTTAGCTTAGCGGGGCAGCCTCTCACTCCAGAACAGAGGGAAGACCTAGTGAGCTAGGCAGGCTGAGCCTTTTTATCATGCAATAATAAACTAATACCATAAATGAATTGAAGTGAAAACCCCCCATAATTTTATTTATCCTGCAGAGGAACATTAAAAGATCAGCATCCCATCTCTCATATTTATTTAGACATTTATTCCCCAAGTAGATTTGCTTTATATCTATGAGTTAGCTCCCTGGATATCTGCTGATTAAGACTAAAAAGGGCTGCCTATCACCTGAACTAAATGCTCAACCACTTAAACTTCCAGGCCTGCGAGTGAGTGTGTAGCTTTGAGGTCATGAGGAGCTTCATTCATCAAGTCAGGGATTGCATATACTAGTGGGTTTTGCCTCGCTTTTCCTATGTCTGCAGAACAGGACTAGCAATCTGCTGGCATAGTTGTATGTATTTTATTTTTCCTTCTGGTTGTGTTATAGTCTTGGCATTGCTTGCCTGTGGGTGGCCAAAACAAGGGTGAGCAATTGAAATGTGAAGTTGTCCTCTGCGTGTGCTACCCTGCAGCTCCATCAGCTCTAGTTCCTGCTGCTTGGTGCTTCCCCGCCCCGCGAGTCCTGGCAGAGGAAAGGAGCGCTCGGTAGCAGGAAAAAAATGCATCTAAGCCTGAGTGCCGGGAAAGGCAAGATGTTTCTGACTGTGGGCTGGTGCCGGTGTTCTTTGTTATTCTTTTGAGGCTCAGCCTACCCACAGAAAACATACGCTGGGGTATTTCAGTCTTTGGAGTCCCACCACCACAAGCTTCGGCAATGGAATGAGGCTTAGGTTAACGCACGGCATTGCTGCTGGAGCAGCACCTCCCTGTTGTGGCCAAGGCACGCTCTCCACCGTCACGGGCTGCAGTAGGGAAAGGCATCGAATGTTTCCAAGAGCATGATTGAACTGGACAGGACAAATAATTGGGTGGAAAACAGGCCCCCAGAGCTCCCTTGTTTCTGTCGCACGTCCAGGCTCACCCAGCAAGCCGGCAGTGACGGTGGGAAGAGGTCGGGCTCCGTGTCCCACTGCTCTTCAACCCACTGGCATCCTCCAACTAATTGCGTGGGTCAGGATTTTGTGCTAGGACTTGCTCCGTGGAACTAGAGAAGCCGGTTGAGCTGGCACGTGTCCTGAGTCTCATCAAGGCTAGAGCACAGATTTATTTCCCTGAGTTGGATTTCAGAAAAAAAATCTTGAGAGAAGCTCAGATTGCGCAGCGGTTCATATTGCAAACAGCTGATTTCAGGAATGGGAACCTAGTTTAGTTTCACTTGGCAAAGCTGACGGTTTGTGTCATGGACAGTTCTTATTTCTTAATAGCATCTCTGTATTCAATTTTCAAAATAAAATATACAATTGGTATACCACAAAACAATCTTCTGCAAGCACTCTTGTTCTCTTAAACACATTTGGTAAAGGAGAGTTTTCTTTGACTAATCCCCAGGCTTTTAGCAATTCACAGTCAGTAAATTATCTTCTTGTGCCTGGATTTTATTTAACCAATTCAGATTATTTATTTTTGAGGACATGACCAAAGTTCTGTACTGTTCCCTGCAATAACTCTCTGAAATGATTATGAAACTTATTTCTAACCCCAATCAACAGCCTTCGGAAATGATCTACTACCGCTTTATAGATTCTTTTCTTCATTTACCTCTGTAGTGCTGCTGTCACACCCTCAGCCACAGCTATGTTGGCAGCTATCTGCGTGCCATTTAACAGGGTGGGTGTTTCACGGAGGGCAGATTTCAGGCCACTGCAGTTCCTGCGAAGATGTACAGCCCCATCTCCCCTTTGTCAGCGTACATAACTGCGCGCTCGGCGAAAACCTGCGCCAGCCCGTACTTACTACTTTCCTTATAATTTGTGGTGGATGGAATTTGGGGGTTCAGGTTTTATATGTATTTGCTTCTGGTTGTGTTAGAGCCTCGGAGGAGGTCTGGGTCGGACAGACCCCTGTGAAGGGAGAGGGCTGTCAGAGCGGCCGCGGGAAGAGTTGGTAGCAAACCGTGCTGCCCAGTCCCATGGCATTCAGAACTGCTTCTTGGTCTTTTATAACAAAAGCTTTTTGGTCTTTTATAGCAAAACGAGTCTAAGCAGACCCTTCTGAAAACTCCAGTGGCAGAGCTCAGTGGAAATGTGGGCGTGGAGAGAGCCTGCAGTCTGAACAGCCGTGTCGGGAAGGGGAACACAGAGAGAGACAGGAGGGTATTGCCTTGTCTGGTTTGCTTGGCAGATCACTGTGATGATATGTATGGCTTCTGAAGGCCTGGCAGCACAGCCCTGCATCTTCTTCTGCAGCGAAATGGTTTCTTAAATCCCAGTTGACAGGCTTCAGTAAGGTCCCAGCTCAGCAGAAAGGGAGCAGGCTGTGGAGTAGTGCCTGTCAGAAGCCCCCCCGAAGGAGAGGCTGCAGGGTGGCGATGCCTGTGTGCAGGGGGGTTTTCTGCAGAAGTGCTTGGAAAGTGTTGCAGTCTGACCCTACACCAGCATAGGGATT